TTCGGGGAACTGGATCACAGATCCAATTCCCTAAATCAAGAGCCCCTCACAAACATCAAGGAACCTTCCTTGAGGGGCAGGGATACAGGAGCCATAGAGATACAAAGGATGATTGGAGATGACAGAGCGTCTAGTGAAAGTAATTTGGCGAGTTTTGGTACTTGAAAATTTAAACCCATGCGTGGTGGCCCAAGTGGAAACACGGTCGACCGCATGCTGGAGAGAAACTGCAATGAGATGACAGTCAGCGCCTGCACAAGCAATAGCGAAGTCATCAACATAGATTGATGACCAAATATTATGTGGAAGAACAGAGGCCAAATCATTTATAGCAAGGAGAAAAAGTGTTGTGCTTAGAACACATCCCTGAGGGACACCTTCACTTGGACAAAGTCCGGGGAAAGAACATTATTGACTAGAACACGGAAATGTCTAAGGAGTGGGCCTGGGCCAAAACATTATATCTCCAAGTTGTGTCATATGCCTTCTCAAGGTCAAAAAATATGGCAATAACTGAGTGATTATTCGCAAAGGCATTACAAACATATATATCCAAGCGTAGTAAGGGGTCTATGGTAGAACGGCCCTAACGAAAGCCATATTGACTAGCGGAGAGACTGTTGTGTCTCTCTAAATACTACATTAAACGTCGATTTATGAGACGTTCCATCACTTTGCAAACTGCACTAGTAAGAGCGATGGGACAATAGTGGGAGGCATCATGCCCTGTAGTACCCGGTTTGCAGAAAGGGAGAACAATGGCAGATTTCCACAGCTGGGGAAGAACTCCTTGTGCCCAAATAAGACTGAAGAGGTGTAAGAGGACTACAAGGGCTGACCGATGTAAATGTTGTAACATACGAATATGAATGTCGTCAGGTCCAGCTGCCAATGATCGGCAAGCTGAGAGCATTGCCTCCAGTTCTTGAAGTGTAAAAGGCACATTATACTGTTCTTCTCTGAGAGAAGAAAAGTCCAAGGTACTAACTCTCTGGCAGACTTTGAGGAAAGAAACAAGGGGCATAGATGGAGCCCCCGGGAAATATGGACCAGATGTGTGCCAAGTTCAATGGCAACGTCGAGAGGGTTTGCTACATCAACACCAGCAACCTGTAGAACAGGAGCCGGGTCAGGAGAGTATTTACCACTCAATTTCCTCACTTTTTTCCAGACTGCACTCATAGAAGAAGCAGAGGTGATGGTGGAAACACAGTCTCGCCAGCAAGTGCGTTTAGCTTCACGGATGACACGGTGAGCGATCGCACGATTCTGCTTAAAATCAAGAAGTCTCTCAGCGATTCTATTGTACCGGTACCTGCCCCATGCAGCGCATTTCAAATGTACTGCACGAGCTCAAGCAGGAGACCACCAAGGCACGCACTTCTGAGAATGCCTGCCTGAGGTTTGGGGTATAGAATGAGAAGCTGTGGTATAAAATGACATCAAGAAGAGGTGTAGGAGCTCATCAATGGAGGATGAAGAAGGAACCTCACTAAAAGCAGTGAGTTGCGAGTAAAGATCCCAATTTGCAGGATCAAATTGCCAGCGAGGGCTACGGAAAGGTGGTGAATAGGAAGGAGAAGTAAGGATGATTGGAAAATGATTGCTGACATGTAAGTCCGGTAGAACAGACCAGGTGAAATCTAGTGCAGTGGAGGAAGAGCAGACTGATAGATCGATGCGAGAGAGTATGAGTACGAGGATCAAAATGGGTGGGAGTACCCGTATTTAAAACATGGAGGGGGTGAGAGGTGAGAAAAGCCTCCAACTGGATGCCTCGTGAATCAAAATGAGACCCCCCTCAGAGGAAATGGTGGCCGTTAAAATCACCAAGTAACAGAAGTGGTGGTGGTAAGGATGAAACTAGAAAGGCAAAATCCGGGATAGAAAACGCTCGAGAAGGAGAGAGATATAAAGAACATATTGTAAACCACTTAGTCAAGTAGATACGGGCTGCAGTGTAATGCAGTGAGGTATGGACAAATAGTTGACAGTACGGAATATCATTGCGTAGAAGATGAGCACTTTCATTAAAGGTCCCACCTGAGAAAGGATCCAAAGAATACAATAAATTATAGCCTGAGATAGGTTGGAAAACAGCCGAGTGTAATTTTGGTTCTTGTAAGCAAGCACCAACAGGGGAAAACCTGGAAAGCAACATCTGAAGCTCACCCTGATTACCCCTGAGGCTGCGGACATTCCACTGTAAATAGGCCATGATTGGCAATAAAGAAAATACCAGGAATCCGTAGGGAAGGGCACCTACGGACTAGAGGGGTTAGAAAAGTCAATGTGTGGTGGCATTGGAAGACATTCAATTAGCGAAGGAATGGAGTGTTGCGAAGAATGGAGTTGTGAAGATGGAGAGAGGGAAGAGATGGAGTAGGAGGTGGATCAGTGTCCATTGAAGGTTTAGTCTCTGCAATATATTCTGAAATGGCTTCAAGTGTTTCTGAATTCAAAGATGTATGGGAGACAATATTGGAAGTAGAAGGAGGAGGGTGAGTAAAGATTGGGACAGTAATGGACTGTACCAAAGTAGAGGGGGATGAAAGAGTGTAGGGAACTGTAGAAGAAGTGTGGGGGGGGACAGAAGAGGCAGAAACCTGGGAGGTGGCAGAAAGAGGGGAAACTTGGGAGGGGACGGGGATGGAAGATATAGTACAAGGAAGAGGGTGAACCTCCACACTTGTAATAGAGCCAGAGAGAGGGGAAGAACTAGACACAGAGACTGCAAAGGTAAAGTGCGGAGGTGGAAGAAGGGAAGGAAGGGGCAAAGAAGATTTGAGCACTGGGGATTTTTTTGACTTCTGAGAAGTAGAGGGGCAATTGGTATAAGGTGTCGTACGGGGTCTTGTCGATACTGAGGCTTGTGAGGAAGGACGCGAAGATGTGAGAACAGACTGAGTTGTAGTCGAGACGTCAGCGCCAAGGACAGCAAAAGGATTAGATGCCGGAGTGGCTATGGGAGGGGCAACAACAGAGGAGGCTGCAGAAGATGGGACCACAGAAGTGGGGGGACGTTTTGAAACACGAGAATAAGAAACACGGGGTAGTCTCTCTTGGAGGCGGAGATGAGTAACTGCCATAGCATAAGGGAGACCTTTTGCCTCTTTGAGACAACGGATTTCACGCTCATTCAAGTAGACCTGGCAATGGCGAGAGTACGAAGGGTGAGCCTCATTACAATTAAGGCGGGATGGAGGTTAACTGCAAGATGCATTAGAATGGTCATCGGCACCACAGACTGGGCATTCAGCTATAGATCTGCAATATTTTGCTGGGTGACCAAAAAGCCAGCAATTTCTACACTGTTGCGGTGTAGGGATCACCTTTCGAACTTGTAACCGATGTCCCGCGACATAAACAGAGGACGGGAGTTCACGGCTGTCGAAAGTTAATCGAGCCACATTGCAAGGGTATCATCTCCATCTTTCTTTCTTCTGGTATCCTGGGCATTGCTTTCAGTCAAAAAATCCTCAAAAACATGAAATTCATCTTCACTGACACTTCCATCTGTGTTAGAGCGATCACTTGGGAAGAGTCTCAGATTCGCTGGGGAATCACACATTTCTTACTGCTAGGCATGCTGAACAAGGACTACTGAAATGGCAATCCCACAATGCACCACTGGCTCCCCAATTTTTTTTATAGTGCATGCACTGACCATGGAGATCCATTCTCTCACATGTGGGCCTACCAGCTTTCTCCTGCTTGATTTGAAGCCACTAGAATTTTGGTGTATTACAGTGGACCCTTAGTTAATGGCATTAATCCATTCCAGAGAGCTTGTCTTTAACCCATTCTGTCATTATCCGAATTAATTTTCCCCATAAGAAACAATGGAAATGCAATTAATCCATTCCAGACACCCAAAAGCATTACAAAAAAAAAAAAAAATTATACATGAAATATACATTTCCCTACACAGAAAACAATGAGACATGTAGAATACATAAATAAATAATAAAATGACACCTTTATTGAAGATGTATTGATGAATGATGAGATGGGAGGGGACAGGATAGAGGAGTTTACAATTGTTTGGAAAGGAATCCCCTTCCATAAAGACTTCAGGTAACAAGTCCTTTTCAGGGGTTACCTCCCTTCTTTGTTTTTTAATGCCACTAGGACCTGCTTGAGAGTCACTGGACCCCTGTCACACCAAAAATCTGTCCAGAGAGCTCTGTTTCTGGCATCTCTTTAAGATTTCCCTAAAATGGGACACAACATTATCATTGTAGATGTTGCCAGCACAGCCTGCAACAGCTGTGTCAGGGTGATGTTCATCCATAAATGTTTGCACATAAGAAAGCAGGAACACTGCAGCAGGCCTGTTGGCCCATACTAGGCAGGTCCTTCACAAACCATCCCACTAACAGAACTGTATTTGCCCAACCCAATTTTCAATGCTTTCCAAGCAATAAGCTTTGGTAATTCTAATCACTCATGCACAAGTCCCGATCAAATCACATCATGTGTGTGGGGAAGTACCCTGTCTGGTGTGTGGGGAAGTACCCTGGCTGGTGTGTGGGGAAGTACCCTGGCTGGTATGTGGGAAAGTACCCTGGCTTGTATGTGGGGAAGTACCCTGGCTGGTATGTGGGGAAGTACCCTGGCTGGTGTGTGGGGAAGTACTCTGGCTGGTGTGTGGTGAAGTACCCTGGCTGGTATGTGGGGAAGTACCCTGGCTGGTGTGTGGGCAAGTATCCTGGCTGGTATGTGGAGAAGTACCCTGGCTGGTGTGTGGGGAAGTACCCTGGCTGGTGCGTGGGGAAGTACCCTGGCTGGTATGTGGGGAAGTACCCTGGCTGGTGTGTGGGGAAGTATCCTGGCTGGTGTGTGGGGAAGTACCATGGCTGGTATATGGGGAAGTACCCTGGATGGTATATGGGGAAATACCCTGGTTAGTGTACATAAAAAAGTAAGAACACTGCAGCAGAACTGTTGGCCCATACTACCACCCTCTACCACCAACACTACCACCCTCTACCACTGCCACTTTCACATCTTTCTACAAACTTTTCCTTGAATTCTATAGTGTTTCTCACCCTCTTTACCAAAGGGCTGGCACTAGAAGCTTTCTTTGGGCCCATGGTGGCTTATTTAGCAGTTACAAGCACTAAAAACAATGGAATAATACAAAATGTATCACATGTATGCATGGAATCATCCTCACTGGCTTGTAAACAATGGCACACTGGCTGTGCATGGAGTGTCAGTGCCACTCGTGGCGCGTGGACACATTCAGGACGATTGTCTTTAACCGAGTTCTTTGTCATTAGCCAAGCCAATATTTTGACGCAAAAACGTGTCATTATCCAATTTTTACGTTATCCGATGATGTCGTTAACTGAGAGTCCACTGTAATACATCAAACACATTGGCTCGTAAGACGTATATATACGAATGAAACAGTCAAAGGGTTAAGTGTATTCTAACCTTACTACTCTAAAATCCAGCAAATTTAATAATCCGGCACACTACAGGTCCCAACGATGCCGGATTTGTGATGGCGGACCAGTACTATAAAAACTTGGAACATTAAAAAGTAGTGCAAAGGATATAGGAAACTGGAGCTCTAGCAAGCTTGATTAGAAATTGTACACTGGCTGTGAAAAGACTTTTTGGGCGCTGCATTAGATTCCTTCCAACTTTTATTCAAAAACATTTCCAGAATGAAACAGAAATATTAAACTGAGGCACTCTAAAAAAGCAAAGGTTTTTTAAATATTTGCCTATATTAAATATGAAATAAAAAAAATATATTTCTAATCATGCCCTACCCCTCAATGGCAATTGCAGCAAATAGTTTTATTACAATTCAGTGCAAGAGCATGTGCTCACAGCAATCAAAGTTGAATGCCTAATACTGAAGGCACAAGCAGTTTAATACAAATCACTTAGTGTGGATTTTCTGGTGGCTTCTCATTTTGTCCTTTCTTTCAAAAGCTTTACCACAAAAATCACAAACATGAGGCTTCTCTCCGGTGTGGTATCTCAGGTGGACAGTGAGCTTAAAGCCAACATTAAACACCTTGCCACAATACTCACAAGTGTGAATCCCATCTGATACCATCTGGTTGTGTTTCTTACCCTTGAGTTTTGATGCAGCTGGTGCTTCTTGCTGAGCCAATTTGCACTTAACTTTGGGTTTTGGCACAGTTGGCACTTCCTGCTTGATTGGTTTGTGCTTCTTAATCTTAAATTTAGGCACAGATATCACTTCCTGCTGAACTGGGCTGTGCTGAGCTTTGAATTTTGGCACAGCCAGTACTTCCTGCTGAATTGGTTTGTGTATTTTAACTATAGATTTTGGCCGAGCCAGTGCTTCCTGGTGAGTGAGTTTGTGCTTGACTTCATGTTTTAACACAGTTGGCACTTTTTGCTGAGCTGAATTATGTTCAACTTTGGATTTTGGCACAACCAACACTTCTTGCTTAAGTATTTTGTGCTTCTTACCCTTAGATTTCAGCTGAACTGGTTTGTGTTTCTTAACCTTGGGTACTGGCACAATCGGAGCCTCCTGTGGTAATGGGTTGTGCTCAACTTTGGGTTCTGACACAGCAGGCACTTCCTGCTGAACCACTTTATCATCCAATAAATGTCTGAATTTTTGGTGTATGTGGAGTACATCGGAGCGACTGAACCATTTTCCACAGAAGCATACATATGGTTTCTCATCCATGCGAGAACACAACGACACCTTGCATAAGGAGACAATTTCTTTCTGGCATATACTGCACTCTTGCTGGTTAGGATCCTCTGAGCCTTGAGTATCAAGCTTGTCGGTGTTTTCCAAAGACTGTTCCTTGATGTTAATAATCCCCTCTGTCTTCACCTGAACTGTAGTGGAAGCACATTGCTCTCTTAAAATGTTATTAACTTTGCTTTTTACTGTGGATGTTCCTATATTATTACTTTTGACTTCCAGCAACATTGAACATTGATCTGGATTCATCATGTATCTAAAGGAGTGAATTTTTAGGTGACTGCTTCCAGCAAATTTACATCAAAAACACAAACTTCCCTGAGTGAGTTTGCCAGTGGAGAATAGGGAAGTGAAGAACTACAAGGATTTTGTATATATACTGCTGACAAGGCTTTCCTTATTCCAGGACTATCATATAATGACCTGCACAAATGTAAACACACTAGTGCCAGTATTGGCACTAGTATGCCAATACTGGCACACTGGTGCTAAGGTGGGCTGTAGTATGGGCACTGTAAAGGTAATTCTTCTGGTGCCATGATGACCTGCAATATTTGCATGACAATAGTGCAAGGATCATCTACAGTATTAGTACTGTACTGAAAAAGTAATGCCAGACTCTAGTGCTAGGTAAGCTGCAGTACTGATACAAGGGTAGTGTCTGCCTCTAGTGAAACAAAGATCTGCAAAAAAAAAAAAAAAGGACATTAAATGGTTTACAAATATTTACCAACCATAATCATTTGTTTAATATTTTGTTACATAAACATTCAGTTTCAAGTATGCTCTAAGTATCTTCCAAAATTTTTGAAGCATTTTTATTACAAATACACTTTTAGACGCAAAAAAAATAACACTGGTTGTATCCCACTAAGGTAGAGTGGTCGCTAAAGCTCTCGCTTCACACATCGAGGGGTCTGGGTTCGATTCCCAGTGAGAGTAGAAACACTGGGCATGTTTCTTTACACCGGTTGCCTATGTTCACTCATTAGTAAAATGGGTACCTGAGAGTTAGTCAATTGGTGTGGGTCGCATCCTGGGACAAAACTGACCTAACTTGCCAGAAATGCTTTGCATAACAAGTGACTCTTTATATAGTAATGTGTCATTGATGTCAGCTAGGCCTGTATACCATGTACACGTACTTGTAGTAAATAAAGATATAATTATTCTTAATGAATCCTGTGAAGCAGTCACATTATTTGAATCCGCACTACATTTAGTTGTAATCACATATGCAAAATATGGTAATTGGTCCAGCCCACTGGAAATATGCAATGATAAACAAGTTTTTTATTTATTTATTAAAGTAATACAGGTTGGTCATCACTAATCTGGCAATCAGTGATCTGGCACTAACTTCAGCTAGCATAATTTCAAATTTCCGGGGTTGCCACACCAACCTGCTGCTACTGTTTAGTGGCACTACTTGCTGCATAAGTGATTCCAATTTCTTTTTCCCCATTTATTGTTATAACCTGCTTACTTTTAGCCCTAGCCATGGTTCCAACAAAAGAAATGCTTCACGCTGTGTAAAGCCTTTTAAAGATCAAAAAAGACTGTGATAACCGACTAGCTACTAGCAAAGCCATTATGAACATAGGTATCTAGGCAGGTTAAGGGGTCAATAGTGGAGCAGCTATATGAAAGCCAAATTGACTAGCGGAGAGACTATTGTCTATAAATACCATACCAAATGTCTATTTACTAGATGTTCCATCAATATGCACATTGCACTGGTAAGAGCAATGGGATCCTAGAGTGAGGCATCATGGCCTGAAGTACCTGATTTACAAAAAGGCAGAACAACGGCAGATTTTTACAGCTGTGGAAGAACTCCTTGTGACCAAATAAGATTGAAAAGATGTAAGAGGACTGCAAGGGCTGATGGATGTAACTGCTGAGACATATGAATGCCATCAGGCCCAGTTGCCAATGATTGGAAAGTGGAAAGTGTTGAATCCAGTTCTAGAAGCATAAAAGGCATAGCATAAGACCTGTCTCTGCTAGAAGAAAATTCTAAAGGTAGTAATTCTGGTGCTCTTGGAGGAAAGAAATGAGGAGCATAGATGGAGCGCCTGAGAGATACGGACATGAGGGGCACAGATGGACTGCCTGAGATATGGACAAGATGATTTCCAATCTCTGTGGCAACTTCAAGAAGTCTTGCAATGCTGACATTGGTGACTCAAAGAACAGGATCCAGGTCTGGAGTGAACATGCCACTCAGTTTCCATAGTTTTTTCCAAACTGCATTCATAGAGGAAGCTGAAGTAATGGAAGAAACATAATCCAACCAACACGTGTGTTTAGCTTCATGGATGACATGATGGGCAACTGCTTTCACCCACTTAAAATCAAGGAGTCACTCTGCTGTCCTATTTTAATGATGTCAGCCCCAAGTAGGTGACCATCAAGGCATGCATTTCTGAGAGTGCCTACTTGAGGTTTGAGGGACTGAATATGAAGCTGCAGTTAAAATCAAGATCAAAAATAGCTGAAATAGTTCATTAGTGGAGGACAAAGAAGGTTCATCACTAAAAACAGTTTGACACAAGTAAAGGTCACAATTTGGCCAACGTGGGCTTCAAGGAAGGCAAGTCAAGAATACGAATGGGAAGTAAGGAGGATAGGAAAATGATTGCTGTCATGTAAATCTGGGAGCACAGACCAGGTAAAGTTGAATGCAGTTGATGAGGAGCAAACTGAGAGATCAATGAGAGAGAGATTGAGTGAGGGTCAAAATAGGCGACAATATTCGTATTTAATACATGGAGGGGAAGAGAAGCGAGAACTTCTAACTAATCACCATGAGAGTCACAGTAACCCCCTCCCCCAAGATGAAATGATAAGCATTAAAATCACTTAATAGAGAAGAGGTGGCAGTAAGGAAGAAATCTGAAATAGATAATACTTGAGAGGGAGAAAGATACAAAGAGAAAACTGTATGCCACTTGTTCAAGTAGATTCGGACTACAGTGTAATGCAGCAAAGATATGAACAAAAATCTGATAGTGTGGTATACCTGTGCATACAAGAAGTGTACTTTCATTAAAAGTTTCATTGGGAAAAGGTTCCAATGAACGCAATAAACTACAGCCCGAGATGGGATGGATAACAGCGGAGCATAATTTAGGTTCTTGTAAACAGACACAAACAGAGGAAAATTGGGAGAGCAATACCTGAGGCTCATTCTGATTACCCCTGAGGCCTCGAATATTCCACTGTAAATAAGTCATGATTTGTGAAGAGAAGTACAGTGGACCCCCACCATATGATATTAATCAGTTCCTGAAAGCTCATCGTATGCTGAAATTATCGTAAGGTGAATTAATTTTCCCCAGAAGAAATAATGGAAATCAAATTAATCTGTTCCTGAAACCCCAAAACATGAAAAAAAAACAAAATTTACCACATGAAATATTAATTTTAATACACACAAACTGACACTTACCTTTATTTAAGATCTGGTGACGATTGATGGGATGGGAGGAGGGGAGTGTGTGGAAGTTGTTAATGTTTAGAAGGGGAATCCCCTTCCATTAAAACTTTAGGTAGCACGTCCTTTTCCGGGGTTACTTCCCTTCTTCTTTTAATGACACTAGGACCAGCTTGAGAGTCACTGGATCTCTGTCGCACAACATATCTGTCCATAGAGGCCTGTACCTCCCGTTCCTTTATGACTTTCCTAAAGTGGGTCACAACATTGTCATTGTAATAGTCACCAGCACGGCTTGCAATAGCTGTGCGAGGGTGATTTTCATCCATAAAGGTTTGCACTTCAAGCCACTTTGCACACATTTCCTTAATCATTGAAGTAGGCAACTTCTTCAATTTCTCTCTCCCCTCCTCCGAAGCAGATTCCTCAGGTTTGGCCTCTTGCTGTTGAAGATGATCTTGCAGCTCATCAGTGGTTAGTTCTTCATTGTCCTCCTCCACCAACTCTTCCACATCCTCCCCACTAACCTCCAACCCCAAGGACTTCCCCAATGCCACAATTGATTCCACAACTGGCATACACTTCTCAGGGTTAGCCTCAAATCCTTCAAAATCCCTTTTTTCTACACATTCTGGCCACAGTTTCTTCCAAGCAGAGTTCAAGGTCCTCTTAGTCACTCCCTCCCAAGCCTTACCTATAAGGTTTACACAACTGAAGATGCTAAAGTGATCTTTCCAAAACTCTCTGAGAGTCAATCGAGTGTCTGTGGTCACTACAAAGCACTTTTGAAACATAGCTTTTGTGTAGAGTTTTTTGAAGTTTGAAATGACCTGCTGGTCCATGGGCTGCAGGAGAGCAGTGGTATTAGGAGGCAAAAACTTGACCTTAATGAAACTCATGTCCCCAGAAAGTCTCTCTGCCAAGTCTGAAGGATGACCAGGAGCATTGTCTAATACCAGGAGGCACTTAAGGTCCAATTTATTTTCCAGGAGGTAAGTTTTCACAGTGGGGGCAAATGCATGGTGTAACCAGTCATAGAAAAGGTCTCTAGTGACCCATGCCTTACTGTTGCCCTCCACATCACACACAAATTAGCCTTGAGGACATTGTTTTGCCTGAACACTCTGGGAGTTTCAGAGTGATACACCAATAAAGGCTTCACTTTGCAATCACCACTAGCATTAGTACACATCAAGATAGTAAGCCTGTCTTTCATAGGCTTATGCCCTGGGAGTGCCTTTTCCTCCTGAGTAATGTAGGTCCTGTTTGGCATTTTCTTCCAAAACAGGCCTGTTTCGTCACAATTAAACACTTGTTCAGGTTTCAGTCCTTCACTGTCTATGTACTCCTTGAATTCCTTCACATATTTTTCAGCTGCTTTTTGGTCCAAACTGGCAGCCTCACCATGCCTTATCACACATATGTATGCCACTACGATTCTTAAATCTCTCAAACCAACCTTTGCTGGCCTTAAATTCACTCACATCACTAGTTGCTGGCATTTTTCTAATTAAATCCTCATGCAACTTCCTAGCCTTTTCACATATGATTGCTTGAGAGATGCTATCTCCTGCAATCTGTTTTTCATTTATCCCCCCACCAATAACAGTCCCTCAACATCTTCGAGTACAGTGAACCCTCAGCTAACGATGGCATCACCTAACGTTAAATCCGGCTAGCGATACATTTTAACGCAAAAATTTTGCCTTGGCTAGTGCTAAAAAACTCACCCAACACGATTCGTTTGAGACGCGTCAAACTGTGACCTGAGCGTGCCTCACTTGTCCCGTGGGTGCCAGTGTTTACAAGCCAGCCACCACGGTCGCATCCAAGCATACAATCGGAACATTTCATATTATCACAGCGTTTTTAGTGATTTTACCTGCAAAATAAGTCACCTTTGGACCCAAAGAAAGCTTCTAGTGCCAACCCTACAAAAAAAAGGGGTGAGAATTACTATGGATATGAAGAAAGAGATAATTGCTAAGTATGAAAGTGGAGTGCGTGTCCGAGCTGGCCAGGTTGTATACGAAACCCCAATCAACCATCGCTACTATTGTGGCCAAGAAAATGGCAATCAAGGAAGCTGTTCTTGCCAAAGGTGCAACTTTGCTTTCGAATAAGATATCGCAAGTGATAGATGTTGAGAGACTGTTATTGGTGTGGATAAATGAAAAACAGATATCAGGAGATAGCATCTCTCAAGCGATCATATGTGAAAAGGCTAGGAAGTTGCATGAGGAT